TGAAAGATATCCGCGGAGGTAAACTCCATGATCGGTGCCCAATCAGATTCGATAGGCACGGACGCAAGCGGTTCGGAGCCTGTGGCCGGGGATGAATCTAAGGGTCCGATGACACAGGTCTCATAGGAGGTGAAGTCAGTATTCGGCTCTATCGCCGCTGAGTGTGCGGCCTCCGTGGCGGGGTCCATCCACCCGTCCTCGGACGACACGATCTGCTCCAGATTGAGGGCCGGAGTAGCCGGAGGTGTGATCTGCCGAACACCGTCCGACGACAGAGCTAAGTCATGCTCGTCGTGACTGTGCGGCATACCTGACATGGGCTCGAATCCATCGAAGATCAAGTCTCCGCGGACGTCGGCAGTATAGTTCAAGCTTCAAAATCTGACCTGATGGCCAGGGGCGTAGCTCTTGATCTGCTCCAGATGGCCAAGCGAGTTGGCCCGCAGTACGAAGCCGCCGAATACGAAGATCTGTTCGGGGAGAAAAACCTCACCCTGGATTGCGTCGTTGCCGATGATCGAAGGAGCCATCAAGCCTTTATCGTGACGGCACAGTGGAACTCAAAGAAAGCACCAATGTCGGTGTCAAAACCGGCGGATCTCGGCTAGGGCGTCCCGAACTGTGCGTCTAAGGCTGATGGTAACAGGAGGCGGGGGACACAATGTTTACCCAGGTTCGGGCCCTCTCGATGGAGGTAATACCCTACTTCCTGCTTGATTGATCTTGATGATATGAGTATTATAAGAGTTGATCTACCATGAGATCGTAGAGGCTAAACCCTAGAAGCTAGCCTATGATTATGATTGTTCTTCTCCTACGGACTAAACCCTCCGGTTTATATAGACACCGAAGGAGGCTAGGGTTACACATAGTCGGTTACAGAGAAGGAGATCTACATATCTAAATCGCCAAGCTTGCCTTCCACGCAAAGGAGAGTCCCACCCAAACACGGGACGAAGCCTTCAATCTTGTATCTTCATAGTCCAACAGTCCGGCCAAAATATATAGTCCGGTTGTCCAAGGACCCCCTAATACAAGACTCCCTCATTTGGCCATGCACAAGATATCATATCCAGTGTATGTGAGGCCATCAGTTCTTTTGCATTGCATGCACATGTAGTGCCTTGCACACACTTGCGACATATGGATGGCACGGCCGTACGAGCTATAAGCCACGCGCTCAGCCTCTTCTACCTTGGTCGTAGCGCATGGTTTGGGATGTGGTCCTGACTCTGAGCACTGTGGTCTGGTCGAACGGGGTGTTTTGGTAGGTATGTCTAGAATTTGATTGGTAAGGCTTGACGAATGGCATGCTTTGTCATCTCTCTCGGCTATTGACCCCTCCGGCCTGGTCGTCTGGCATGTGCTCTTTCCTGGCGCTTATATTGTCTAGTCGGTTCGCCTGGTTTCCTTCCTCTCATGTGGTTCCGGGTGAGGATGTCCAGTTATGATGGTTCGGGTCATTTGTCGTGGGTGGCGTAGTTCGGTTTTCTATTAATCCGGCTAGAATATGAAAAAAAAACTCAGGCTCAATCCACCCGCTCATGCAAACAATTTATGTATTGCCAAAGAAAGATATGTGAATCGATCATCATTGTATGTCATTAGTAAATGCAAGGCAAATACAAACCAATAGAAACAAGATCAATTGCACACAATCTACGAAGAACGTCCTTCAAGTAGTTCACCTAAATTCTGGTTGCATCTGTTTTTTTGCCCCTGTCCGGATCGTTCATAAGATATGTTGTTCATAGGTTTTCCAGTCAGGGGTCCTAAAACACACTGCCCATCCAGACCGCAACGCTCAAAGGTCGGCAAAATTGACAAATTTGACCTATGGACGAAACCAAATCACAGAATGAATTGCTCGTGAAACTATTTCACGCGGCTGACCTTTTTGTGTGACGCCTGACACGAAGGCGTCACACTACACTGTGCAACGCCTCGCAGATAGGCGCTACACGCCTAGCCAGCGTCGCACCCATGTGATCCGAAAATTATTAAGTCAGTGTGCAGCGCCTAAGAGCTAGACGCCACACTATACAGTGTAGCGCCTAGCTTCTAGGCGTTGCACTAGTGGTTGCTTCATTTTGTAGTGCAACCACTAGTGCAGCGCCTGAGCTAGGCGCCACACTATACAGTGCAGCGCCTAGCTCGTAGGCTCTGCACAATGACTTAGCAATTTTTAGTCAGTTTGGGGTGCAACGTTGGCCAGGCGTGTAGCGCCTGTCTGTGAGGCGTTGCACAATGTAGTGTGACGCCTTCGTGTCAGGCGTCACACAAAAAGGTCAGCCGCGTGAAATAGTTTCACGAGCAGTTCATTCTGTGATTTGATTTCGTTCACAGGTCAATTTTGTCAAATTTGCCTCAAAGGTCAGGCTCACCTCCCAAAGCACGCCCTTAGGACACCCATCTGTGTGAGGTTCTTTATGTAGATAAACTCTGGATTTTCCATTCAGAGCAGGCTGACGACTGGCTTCCCAACAAGCCCTCTGGCAACCGTATCAAGCTGACATAGCCATGCGGAAGAGTCTCATCACATGCCAGGTCGCCATATACGAGACAAGAGGCAAGAGGTAGCCGAGACGTGTCTATCAAAGTCGTTTGGGTGTGTTTGGCTTGCAGTCTTCAGAAACCAAGAAAGTTTGTTACCATTTTGCCATACAACTGTATTCAAATAGTCCTATTTATGCGGGGTAAAAAGGTAGCTAAAATAGTTCACGTAATTTTCCGTTGTAATTGGTTCGGGTCAAAGCCATGTTGCTTGCTTTGTTCGGTTTGGTGTTACCTTGGTCGGCATGTAGTCATGTGACGCTCCTTGACCAATTGCCCCAACGAACGATGACTTCATGAAAGATTTTATGAAATGCAGCTTGCGTGTGAGGAACCAGACGCCCCCCTATGGTATGCCATAGTGTAATATTAATTTGGCATACCATTACATAGCGTTGCAATGTAGTTGTAGCAGATCAGGCCTCATAGTTGATTTGCTTCGTGGCCGCAATTTGTCTTTGTGGATGACGTAGCGGGCCAAAGCATAGGAAGAGAGTTAGGCACGTGTAAATGATATCTGAAAGGCAACCTTACGGAACGACCATGCTTCCACCCGGGCAAGAGCTGAGCAAAAGGAGGTAAACCAGAAGCAGAGAAATGGCCGGCCCACCATGCCATTAGACGCTAATTTGACCCATGAATCACATGACAACCTTATACCGAACAACCAGCATGGAAGGATCGCGAACCAAGGAAGCATGGAAGGATCGCGAACCAAGGTAAGCAAACCAACCGGCCAGCCCAACAGCATCCAAAACCAGGGTGAATTCGGGTGGATCGCTCCTCTCTGACTGAGAGGCCACAACCAGTCACGTGGCTATGAAACCGCGTGGTTATGCCAACATGGATCGGGCCCATCCCGGCCTACATCTAATGGAAGGAGTTACCCAAGGACGTGCCGGAGGCTTGGCACATCATTTACCAACCTAACGCTTATGCCGAGCACGACAGAGAGCTGTATAAACGCAATATTACAAGCGTATTCCAATGTTGTAGACAATTTAAGGAAAACACCTCATATAATTCATTTACTTTCCGGGTTGCAGTTGGTATATGCGTCAAGAGCACAACAGGTCATCTAGTAGCATAAATACAGGAGAAAAGCCAATAGAATGGGGAAGTAATGTCTATTATATTTGTGTAAAAAAACACGTAATTGATCAAGATTAATGGAGAACTTTTCACTTGCTCTCCAAGTTTGCATCTACAAACTAAATATATGACATAATTTAGTTTGTAATATCTCTATGACTGTATATTTGAGTTGTGTGAGTGTTTTAGAAAAATAACGCCAATGTGTTTCATTTTGAATGGTCAGCGTTCCATGGTCCTCCAACCACAACCAGTTTGCCCGATTGCATAGCAGGTGGGATGATGCATGTTGAATATTTTAGTTATCGTCAGAAAACAAAGGGCCATCATACCCTTTTTTTTGCGGGTACACCATACCCTTTTTGAAGCAAATATAACTCCTACTAGCGTTGATTTATCTCATTTTATTTATGCCTTATTTATTGAATGTCAATAAGGGAGAAGATAAAGTAACAAAGAAAAGTAGGAAAAAAATGATCATTTGCACACTATTATATAGAGGTTGATTACCAAGATCGTCCGATCTTTCTTAAAGAAAACAGAAAATATTACATGTATTTTGAGGTTAAACTTTACATGCATAGTCCTAAACTTATTTCAGTATGTTTCTATTTATTTTTCCTTGAAAAAAGATAATAAATCTTGGCCTTTGCATCGAGTGATGCACACAACCATATATTACTGGTTAGAGTGTGGCTAGGTCTCGGTCAAGTGACATAACATTTAAGAAAGAAGAAAGAAAAACATGCATGGATCTCAATGTAAGATCTTACGAATATAGCATCGAATGAGATATAATCAAATTTCAGTTGACCGAGATTTAAAAAGACTGTATTGGTTATTAACCGATGCCAACCAAAGCCTGGCACCTATGAAACAACTTACATAAATATAAAGTCCGAGGTCATCAAAATGGATCGTCCATGATGTACCACAAACCCTATGACAAAAGACCAAATGAAACGAAACTATGCTGATGTTGATGAATCCAACAAAAGGTCATGAGAAGCTGCATGTTAATTAAGACTTTGATCGCTTGGTACAGGCTGAACAATAAGCTGCAGTTCACCGAACTACTTTAGTGTCCACGTTCTGTGTAACTTAATATAAGACGGTACAGAGATAGTCATAAACTACTCACTTTGATTCATAACAAGTGTCGCATGTTTGAATTAAGATTGAATTAACCTTAATTCAAAACTGCGCCACTATTTTGGATCGGAGGGAGTATGTGGCCACCTTGACCAATAAATTAACCACACGTATATGAAACAGGGCGCATGCTGATCGGCTTGGCAACGTTGGCGAGAGGTGCTTCATTAGGTGAGGCACACAGGCATGTAATGCATATGCAGCTAGCTAGGCGCGCCGGTGTAGATGTGGACTTCGAACCCGAGGATGATGACGGCGAAGATGGTGAAGAAGACAAGGGTGTGGACGAAGATGGACTTGCCGGTGGTGCGGAGGCCGCCGAAGTCGATCCTCCCATACGTCCCCGGCAGCTCGAATAGCAGCCCCGGCGTGAGCACCACGAACAACACCACCCCTACCACCACAGGGGCCCAGTCCACCATCTACAGTGTACACTCCTGCTGCGGCAGTGCAGTCCTGCTGGCCACTGTGTCTTACCGGCTGCCTCGGCTGCTGATGGTGGAAGATGCGTTTGTGTTGATGAGAAGGATGAGCGAGAAGGAACGTGGAAAGGAAAAGGGAGGGAGGAATTAATGGCCAACGAGACATGCACAGCTGCTTTGATGCTGAAAGAAGAAAAAAAAGGATTCGGATGCCGTCGGATGAGGGTATATCATTGTGGTGTGCTTTTTTGATTTGGACGTAAAATCAAAAGCCAATCAACTGCGAAGCCAAAGATTAGAAATCATGTGTCGGGAAAGCCGCCGAGTGGGGTGGTGGAAGTTATCAAAGTGTTAAACGTTTTTTTGGGTGAAAGTGTTAAATGTTGATGACTACTTCCTCTGTAAAAAAATATAAGAGTGTTTAGGTCACTACTTTAATGATCTGAATGCTTTTATATTTGTTTATGGAGGAAGTACTTTGATGTAGACACATTAACCGGCACAACTGGCGCTGTGTTGTCGGATGCACGTGGTCTGGAGAATGGCCGAAGGTTATGGCCCTGATGAATGGCCGAAGCTTATGCAGTCGTCCACGGCCTAATCCTTGCTAATTAACCAACTGAGGGGCAATGGAGTATGCTTAATTTGGATTGTGATGAGATAATTGAGATGATAAGTACAAGCCAGAAATTCACATAGGCACATCTGTCTAGAGCTGTTGATTTGCGTCGTGATCCGGAAACTTGTTCGCGTACGTTTTTGGACCACGACTGTTTTTCTACATTTATGTTCGTGTACGTAGGCTGGATCGTCCCATTTTGTTCAATTCGTTCTTTTATTTTTAAAGCGGTTGTTCTTTTCAATCATGCTCCAGCCAGCCATTGTTACTGTTCACCTTCTTCATATATGTTCTTTTTTCAATTCTTTGCTCGTCTTTTTTTAGGAAAACAACATGACTGCTATGTATTTTTTATTGATTTTTGGAATAAAGGATACAAAAGAAGGTCTTCAAACAAACAAACAAACAAACAAGGAAAATGAATATATACTGACAGAAAATAAACAAAACCTACTTAATAAAAGAAAATAATGCAACAAGCACAACAGCAGAATCAAAAGGGGAACTATCTAAAGGAGTTCACCCATTCTGGATTGCGGAGGGGAGACCAAACTCAAACCGGACTTTCTTGCCGATCTTGCCAGAATTTGTGGAGGGGAGACTCTACCCATTCTGGTAGGTGGGGATTTCAACATCATTAGAAGAAGAGAGGAGAAAAACAATGATAATTTTGATGCCAGATGGTCCTTTATGTTTAACGCGATCATTGAAAGTTTGGACCTACGTGAGATTGCGCTCACTGGTAGGCAATTTACTTGGGCAAATAATCTTCCTACCCCGACTTATGAAAAGCTGGATCGGGTTCTCACGAGTGCTGAGTGGGAACAAAAATTTCCTCTAGTGTCAATGCAGGCAATGCCTAGAGGAGTTTCTGATCATACGCCACTTCTTTTTGATTCAGGTGAGGCGACTCACTTGGGCAATAAGAGTGTTTTCTCTTTCGAAAATGCGTGGTTCGAGAGAGAGGACTTCCTTGAATTGGTAGCAAGGGAGTGGGCGGCTGAGCAAAGAGGTGCCTCTGCGGAGGAAAGATGGCAATACAAGATTAGACATCTTAAACAGTTCCTTAGAGGCTGGGCTAAGAATAATAGTGGAGCTTATAGACTTGAGAAGGCGAGACTTCTCAAGTTGATTGATGATCTAGACATTAAGGCAGAGAGTGTGCCTCTAGCCATAGATGACCGGTATCTAAGAGGGAGGCTGAGGTCAGTCTGGCAAAGCTTCTTAGAGAGGAAGAAATGAAGTGGACGCGTAGAGCAAAAGTACGCCAAGTGGTTCAAGGGGACAACAACACTCAATTTTTCCACATGATTGCTAATGAAAAAACATAGGAAAAAGAAAATCATCCAACTTGAACAGGATGAGGAAACGATTGTAGGCCATGAGAACCTTAAGCTTTACATCTCTAATTTCTATAAACAATTATTTGGGGATCCATTTGAGAATTTTGTCAACCTGGATGAGGACAGAGTTGATGACATACCTCAACTTCGAGATGATGAGAATGAGATTCTCACAGCCCCTTTTTCGGAGAAGGAGGTGTATGAAGCGATTGCTCAAATGAAAAACAACAAAGCTCCTTTTCCGGATGGTTTTCCAGCGGAATTTTATAAGAAGTGTTGGGGTATTATTAAAGGTGACTTGATGCCTATGTTCAATGATCTCTTTAATAGACACCTGCAACTTTTCAAATTAAACTTTGGGAATATCACTTTGCTTCCAAAGAAGGAGGGAGCGGTCCGCATTGAGTAGTTTAGGCCGATCTGTTTGCTCAATGTGAGCTTTAAAATTTTCACGAAGGTTGGCACAAACCGTCTCACACAGATTGCGCACAGTGTGGTGCAGTCAACACAGACCGCTTTCATGCCAGGACGACATATCCTAAAGGGGGTGGTTGTCTTGCATGAGACCCTTCATGAAATCCACTCAAAGAAACTTGATGGAGTGATCTTCAAAGTGGATTTTGAAAATGCCTACGATAAAGTCAAGTGGCCTTTTTTGCAACAAGCTTTGCGCACGAAAGGATTTGACGAAGCCTGGAGAAAACAGGTCGAATCCTAAGTGCAGGGAGGTAGTGTTGGTATTAAAATTAATGACGATATTGGTCATTACTTTGAAATGCTTAAAGGATTAAGACAGGGCGATCCCATGTCACCGATACTTTTTAATATTGTGGTTGATATGTTGACTGTGCTTGTTAACAGAGCGAAATAAGATGGTCAGGTAGGTGGTCTTATCCCACATCTAGTGGATGATGGGGTATCTATCCTACAATACACAGACGACATAATTATTTTCATGGAGCATGACCTCGCAAAAGCAAGGAACATGAAGTTAGTTCTTTGCTTATTCGAACAACTGTCCGGAGTCAAGATCAATTTTAGTAAGAGCGAATTATTCTGCTTTGGACGTGCCAAGGAGGAGCAAGAAAGATATAAATAGTTGTTCGGGTGTGAATCAGGTGCGCTTCCCTTTACATATCTAGGGATACCAATTCATCATCGCAAAATAAAGAATGGAAATGCATCGAGGATCGATTTGAGAAGAAATTAAGTTGCTAGAAAGGCAAACTTTTATCGTACGGAGGAAGGTTAATTCTTATTAATTCGGTGCTAACGAGCATGCCAATGTTCCTCCTCTCTTTCTTTGAAGTACTAGTAGGAGTACGGAAAAGATTAGACTTCTACCGATCCAGATTCTTTTGGCAAATTGATGAGAATAAGGCCAAGTATAGGCTCGCCAAGTGGGAGATGATTTGTAGACCAAAGGACCAGGGCGGATTGGGTGTTGAGAATTCAGAAGTGAAAAATAGGTGCTTATTGAGCAAATGGTTATACCACCTTTCAGTGGAGACTGAGGGTGTATGGTTGCAGTTACTTCGAAACAAATACTTATACGCTAAGTCTTTGGCTCAGGTAACGGCACAGTCGTCGGACTCACCTTTTTGAAAAGGACTTGTGAGGACGAAGGTTGCTTTCTTTAACAGAGTGACATTTAAAGTGTGGAATGGGCAACGAACTCGATTCTAGGAGGATACCTGGTTAGGGGGCACTCCATTAGTGTTACAGTATCCAGTTTTATATCACATTGCATAATGGAAAGAAGTTTCTGTTGCGTCTGTGTTGCAGTCCATTCCCCGTAATATTCAATTTCGACGGGAACTTGTGGGTCCACGCTGGGATACATGGTTGCATCTTGTGCGTAGGTTAATGGAGATTAATCTTTTGAATGCCAATGACACAATAAGTTGGAAGTTAACGAGGTCAGGTGTTTTCATGGTTAAATCAATGTATACATATCTAATCAATACTGGAGACATCCCAAGGTCGGGCCATATCTAGAAAATTAAGGTGTCGTTGAAAATAAAAGTGTTTATGTGGTTTGTTCACAAAGGTGTAATCTTAACCAAAGATAATCTAACCAAATGCAATTGGGAAGGGAGTCAACAATGTTGCTTTTGTGACCAGAATGAAACAATTGAACATCTACTTATTAAATGTCCGATTGCTAGATTACTTTGGAGAACTATTCATGTTGCTTTTAACATCACTCCGCCAACTTCAATATCACAGTTTTTTCATGACTGGCTGGATGGGGTGGTACCTCAGACAGCTACACAAATCAGAGTCGGAGCATGTGCGTTGCTTTGGGCGACATGGAATTGTCGGAATGATGTTGTCTTTAACAGACAAAACATTACTAATTTTTTGCAGGTCATCTTCAGAGCGTCTACATGGATCCGTACATGGTCCTTGCTGAGCCATACGGACCACAGGGCGCACATGGCTATTGGGTGCAACCGATGGGGAACGGTTGCACGGGATACATACAACCGATATGGATGGCGGTCCAGTAATAGGCTAGGTGTATAAACATCTTGATCTATTATAGCCGGTTGTGCCTTTTTTTATTTTTGGCCGCATATGGCATTTGTTTCTTCATGATCTTTTAAGACCACTTGAGAAGACTTTTGGACCTCTTTTCTTAATAAAATGGTTGTGTGCATCGAATGATGCAGAGGCTGGGGGTTAACCTCCTTTCTAAAAAAAGGAGTTCACCCATGATTCAAAGTTGAGGTAAGACTGCCTCTGGGCTCGTAGCAAAATCCACTTGAGCTCCTCCTTAAATATCCGCCTACAACTGCAAATATTGGAGACCAAATCCTTGAAGACAAAGTCATTTCTGGTGTTCTAGATTACCTAAGAAGCTAAGATAACTAGTTCAAGAGCAAAAGGAACACCGAGAAGTCCTTTGAGCTACTCAATTTCATGTAGAATTCCTTGAAAAGATAACACCGATGACATTACGATTTCATTCTTCTAACCTTATAGATCTTGTTCTGTCAAATTACATTTTACGAAACTTACTTCCTGTTTCTTTTCTAACTTACAATCGTAGTTTAAGTTCTGTCCGTCAAAACTTGCATTACACACACATATGTACATACCAAGTTTCGTTGTGTGAAACCTACCACTAGAATAACTCTCCGTGAGTTTCGTTGTTTCACACCCTTTTTTTTCATGCGTCCATCCCACACGTCGTTGCTTCGATTACAGGACATTTATTTCTGTCGTGCCTAGCCCATTTTTTCGAAAAAGGGAGCTTTATTACTTAAAAGATTTAGGCTGCGTTTGGCAGCAAGGTTTTTTTAAAGTTTTCTGAGAATATTGCGGTTTTCGGAAAAAACCATGGTTTTGAAAACTTTGATGTGTTTGGCTTCAGAAAAACTGAAGTCCTATAAACCACAGTATCTCAGAAACCACGGTATTTTTGCTGTATCGGAAAAAGAGGTCCCGAGCTCTTTTTTCTAAACCGAAGGAGCGCCCTTGACGTCGCCGTCTATATCCAGATGAGATCGCCTCCTACTTTTCCTTTGACTGTTATTATCTCGCAAACCAATTCTATCTCCTGATTATTAGCCGATTCTATTTGATTCACGTACGTTCTCTTAGGTGCTTCTTCTTCCAGCCGGCGTCACCTGCGAGTCCCCCATCTATTCTCTCGGCCATGAGTCAATCAAGCTCACCACCAGGGAAAAAAGGTATGCGCTCGTCTATGGCCTATCCTTAGATATTTGTCCAGTCTGATGAATGCAACGCAAGGGGCGGCATATTGAATATACTCCATTCCGATCTTCCAAGCAGTGGATGTCAACGTTGGATGGGACTAGGGTAGTGCTTAGTTTTCAGTGATCTTCCAAGCTTCTAGGTCGTTTCCAGTGATTAATTTCCGGCTAGTAGCGCACGTCTTGATTAGTTCATGGAGTAGATCGATTTGTCTGTCTGGAGACACTCGTACGCACAAGGCTATGCTAGATAGCCGATGCAGTAGCAACGACGCACTACACGCACATAGAATTTTGGCCGGACTGGAGGTACATGCACGTATAGAAAAAAATATGATAGCAACACTCCCAAGATTGTATTGCTTTAATCTAGTTGATTAATGAACAATGATGTACGTCTGGTTAAATTAATAGTGCCATTGAAGGCCGGCTGATCGATCTATTTCTTGCACTTGTCTAGTTAGCTCAGCATCTAATTGTAGTCCTGTTGAGTAGGTACATCATCTTTTACTTGGCGACGCATCGTATTTACTTGCTATAATTTTAGGCCAATCTTCAACTAATAATTACAAAACAATTGCAGAGCCAAAAAAGGACAGAGCGGCATGGACTAATGGTCGCTTAAGTTTTCTAGTGTCAATGATCAAAGAGTACTCAGATGTGGGGAAGTACCGTGGCTAAAATGGGTGGACAAAGGAAGGATGGCAGGCTATGAAAGACCGATTAAATGCGAGACCTCCTGGAGCTAATTTTACTGTTTAACAGCTGAAAGATAGGGAGCAAAGGCTGAAGAAGGAACTGAATGTCGTCAAGTCTATTGTAGACAAGAGTGGATTTGGTTGGGATCCCAAGAACAAAGTTCCAACGGCTCTAGATGAAAAATGGGAGGAGCTATCAAGTGAACAACGCAAGTGGAGGCACAAACCATTCCCTTACTATGATGTTCTATATGAAATTCATGAAGGTTTGTTTCTGACAATGATTAAAATTAAGAAGTTACTCCTATCATGTCACTTATTAGTCACCTAATTTGTATGCAGGTAAAATGGCAAAAGGCAAGCATTGCAAAAGGACAACTAATGGTACTGAAGAGAGGTACAAGAATATGTCCCATCTTCCTGAAAATGGAAGCTATACTGATGATGTTATGAGGGCTGCTAGTATGGATTCTCCTGAGGCAACACTATCTGCTCCAGGGTCAGCAATCCCAGAATATGACTGGGGCGGAAATATATATGGTGATGATGTTGATTTATCATATGGTGGATATTCAGAACCTTTAGGGGGTAATGAAAATCATGTTTCAGCAGTAGAAGATTTAACAAGTGTGGGTTCACCTCGAAGGAAGAGGCTTCGGAATTCAAAAGGATCTGATGATGGAAGTGACAAAACTAAGGGTAAAAGAGGCAAGGACATTGTGTTGGCCAACTTGGTTTCTGTGAGGGAAGAAGAAATGCAGACTTATAAGGAAATGAAGACAAAACAAATTGACAGCTAAAAGAAAATCAAGATGGCCCAAATGGAAAGGAATGACCCAAAAAATGATCCTTATGGCATGCCAAACTGTATTCAGAAACTTAGAACATTGTGAAGGAAATATGCCCTAGAGGCAATAATAAAGTTATTATTTATTTCCTTATATCATGATAAATGTTTATTATTCATGCTAGAATTGTATTAACCGGAAACATAATACTTGTGTGAATACATAGACAAACAAAGTGTCACTAGTATGCCTCTACTTGACTAGCTCGTTAATCGAAGATGGTTATGTTTCCTAACCATAAACAAAAGAGTTGTTATTTGATTAACGAGATCACATCATTAGGAGAATGAAGTAACATACCGATGACAAAGGGAACAACGTATGTTGTTATGCGGTCTGACCGATAAAGATCTTCGTAGAATATGTAGGAGCCAATATGGGCATCCAGGTCCCGCTATTGGTTATTGACCGGAGACGTGTCTCGGTCATGTCTACATTGTTCTCGAACCCGTAGGGTCCGCACGCTTAAGGTTTCGATGACAGTTATATTATGAGTTTATGAGTTTTGATGTACCGAAGGAGTTCGGAGTCCCGGATGAGATCGGGGACATGACGAGGAGTCTCAAAATGATCGAGACGTAAAGATTGATATATTGGACGACTATATTCGGACATCGGAAAGGTTCCGAGTGATTCGGGTATTTTTCGGAGTACCGGGTAGTTACGGGAGAAGAAATGGGCCTTGATGGGCTTTAGTGGGAAGAGGAGAAAGGGCCAAGGGGCTGCTGCGCCCCCCCTCCCCTCTAGTCCGAATTGGACTAGGGAAAAGGGGGCCGGCCACCTCTCCTTCTCCTTCACTTCCTTCTCCCTTCCTCCCCTCTTGGTGGACTCCTACTAGGACTTGGAGTCCTAGTAGGACTCCACATCCTGGCCGCACCTAGCCTTGGCCGGCCTCCTCCTCCTCCATCCTTTATATACTGAGGCAAGGGGCACCCCATGAACACAAGTTGATCCACGTGATCTATTCCTTAGCCGTGTGCGGCGCCCCCAGCCACCATAGTCCTCGATAATATTGTAGCGGTGCTTAGGCAAAGCCCTGCAGTAGTAGTACATCAAGATCGTCACCACGCCTTCGTGCTGACGGAACTCTTCCCCGACACTTTGCTGGATCGGAGTCCGGGGATCGTCATCGAGCTGTACGTGTGCTAGAACTCGGAGGTGCCGTAGTTTCGGTGCTTGATCGGTCGGATCGTGGAGACGTACGACTACATCAACCAAACGCTTCCGTTGTCGATCTACAAAGGGTACGTAGATCACACTCTCCTCTCGTTGCTATGCATCACCATGATCTTGCGTGTGCGTAGGAATTTTTTTGAAATTACTACGAAACCCAACAGTGGCATCCGAGCCTAGGTTTTTATGGTTTAATATTATATGCACGAGTAGAACACAAGTGAGTTGTGGGCGATATAAGTCATACTACTTACCAGCATGTCATACTTTGGTTCGGTGGTATTGTTGGATGAAGCAGCCCGGACCGACATTACGCATACGCTTACGCGAGACCGGTTCTCCCGGCGTGCTTTGCACAAAGGTGGCTAGCGGGTGACAGTTTGTCCAACTTTAGTTGAACCGAGTGTGGCTACGCCCGGTCCTTGCGAAGATTAAAATAGCACCAACTTGACAAACTATCGTTGTGGTTTTGATGCGTAGGTAAGATTGGTTCTTGCTTAAGCCCGTAGCAGCCACGTAAAACTTGCAACAACAAAGTAGAGGACGTCTAACTTGTTTTTGCAGGGCATGTTGTGATGTGATATGGTCAAGACGTGATGAGATATAAGTTGTTGTATGAGATGATCATGTTTTGTTGAAGTTATCGGCAACTGGCAAAATCCTTATGGTTGTCTCTCTATTGCATAAGATGCAAGCACCCAATAACTGCTTTACTTTATCGCTATGCGATAGCAATAGTTGCAAGAGCAATAGTTGGCGAGACGACCGTGTGACGACACATTGATATAGATCAAGATGATGGAGATCATGGTGTCATGCCGGTGACGATAGAGATCATGACAGTACTTTGGAGATGGAGATCAAAGGCGCAAGATGATGATGGCCATATCATGTCACATATTTTGATTGCATATGATGTTTTACATCTTATTTTGCTTAGTTTGACGGTAGCATTTTAAGATAATCTCTCACTAATTATCAAGAAGTGTTCTCCCTGAGTATGCACCGTTGCGAAAGTTCTTCGTGCTGAGACACCACGTGATGATCGGGTGTGATAGGCTCTACGTTCAAATACAACGGGTGCAAAACAGTTGCACTAGCGGAATACTCAGGTTATACTTGACGAGCCAAGCATATACAGATATGGCCTCGGAACACGGAGACCGAAAGGTCGAGCGTGAATCATATAGTAGATATGATCAACATAGTGATGTTCACCAATGAAACTGCTCCATCTCACGTGATGATCGGACATGGTTTAGTTGATTTGGATCACGTGATCACTTAGAGGATTAGAGGGATGTCTATCTAAGTGGGAGTTCTTAAGTAATATGATTAATTGAACTTTAATTTATCATGAACTTAGTCCTGGTAGTATTAGCATATCTATGTTGTAGATCAATAGCTCGCGTTGTTGCTTTCATATATTTATTTTGATATGTTCCTAGAGAAAAATTGTGTTGAAAGATGTTAGTAGCAATGATGCGGATTGGATCTGTGATCTGAGGTTTATCCTCATTGCTGCACAGAAGAATTATGTCCTTGATGCACCGCTAGGTGACAGACCTATTGCAGGAGCAGATGCAGACATTATGAACGTTTGGCTAGCTCAATATGATGACTACTTGATAGTTTAGTGCACCATGCTTAACGGCTTAGAATCGGGACTTCAAAGACGTTTTGAACGTCATGGAGCATATGAGATGTTCCAGGAGTTGAAGTTAATATTTCAAGCAAATACCCGAGTTGAGAGATATGAAAGTCTCCAACAAGTTCTATCGCTAAAAGATGGAGGAGAATCGCTCAACTAGTGAGCATGTGCCCAGATTGTCTGAGTACAACAATCGCTTGAATCAAGTGGGAGTTAATCTTCCAGATAAGATAGTGATTGACAGAATTCTCTAGTCACCATCACCAAGTTAGTATAACTTCGTGATGAACTATGATATGCAAGGGATAACGGAAACGATTCCCAAGCTCTTCGTAATGCGGAAATTGACGAAGGTAGAAATCGAGAAAAACATCAAGTGTTGATGGTAGACAAGACCACTAGTTTCAAGAAAAGGGCAGAGGGAAGAAGGGGAACTTCAAGAAGAACAGCAAGCAAGTTGCTGCTCAAGTGAATAAGCCCAAGTCTGGTCCTAAGCCTGAGACTAAGTGTTTCTACTGCAAAGGGACTGGTCACTGGAAGCGGAATTACCCCAAGTGATTGGCAGAAAAGAAGG